GTGATTGCGCGTACATTTGCGAACGCTCTAAGTGCGGAAGGACGCCGTCCCCCCCCCCTCTACTCGCGTGGCGCGTGAATCACACTGGGCGGGTCGTCCTCGCGTAAAGTGAAGAGGTGAAGTCAAGATTCGCATATTTATGAGCGGGCGTTTGACAGCTGACGGGAACTCCTTTGTTCTGTTTAAGCTGGTGTGACTTGTAAAGTGAGTCAAAAACAATTTTAAAAAGTATGAAAAATTTCTCAACTATTAGTAAAAGTATTGTGAGGGACCACAAAAGTGCTGTCAGAAACGAATTAAATATCAAAATCAAATTGACTCAATCATTCGTCTTTGACTAGGACTCGCCCCGTAACGTATTATTACATATTTCATTTATATACTATATTTTCTTTTCATTATACAATTTCTCCATTAACCATTAACGTGGATTAAACTCACGAGCAGACTGTATAAATTCAAACTTTTGAAATTTAATTTAAATGCTAATTTTCATGTTTTTTCGAGCTTATAGGTGTTTTTACTTTCTTGCTACTGCTTACGCAGTAGAGAGAAAGTTACATAATGTACGCGAATAAACGGCGATTTTTCTGGCAGAAAACTGTTATTATAGAACCTGGGTAACGAAGAAGTGGATAAATCCAGTTTCTAAATTTAAAAAAAATCCTTTTAACACATACTGTAACCAGAATCCATGTTTTGTGGTTCCTTGTTACCGAAAAATGGAATGTTGGCAAAAAGTCTGTCCGTCCGTTTGTGAACAAAGCTAGAGGCTAAACAGTTCAGCTGATGTTCTCGAAAACTGGTATTCTCAAAGTATTTGGCTGATGTCGCGGCTCCTTAAATTTGAAACCGATATCTTAGTTTTGGGAGTACTTTACATAAAGTCCCTAGGACATTTTCAAATTTTTCAGAAAAATGGCTCAATTGTTTTTGATTAAATTTTATTGTTGGATAGTGTGAAGAACGTTTAAGAGAATGGAGCTGATCTCATGTTCGTAGAAAACCCTGATTTTTCTAAAATTGCAAAAAGTTCAAATTTTTTTTCGGTGTCTTCCTACAACTAAACTATTAAAAATATATATTTTTCTCCTAATGAAATCTGTTCCTTAAGGATATATTTTGAAATAAGGTCATGTACTGTTTTTCGTATATTTGAGTGCTTTTCGCGTAATTTTGCGTGAAAGTACGGATGAGAAAGGATTCTGCTGTTTTAGCTCCATTAGTTTTTCCCTCTCACCTGGATCCGGTAGAGACTCTTTAGCTATAGACACGTAAGTAGCTATTATGATATCCCTCATTGTGCGTGAATAACAAGTGCATATAACTCTTCATTTATGGCCAAAAGAAAACAACGATAATGTTAATCGTTCGTTGAAGGTGCATAAAGTTAAAGGTACCTTGATATTTTGTAATAGATGCATTGGTTTGGATCTCACTGGTGATGAACTTGTGATACTTAGTTGTTGTTACTTACTTCGTCAAGTATCTTAATCATGGTCAATGAAGGTCAATTTTGTACATGAAACATTTTCTTCTAAAATATTCATCTTCTAGGGTTATATTCCTGACTTGAAATGTCAAACAAAAATATGCAAATACATGTTAGCTTTTACTGAATAACTAGCTTATATTATATAAACGATTATGTAAATGATTGCTTGGAATACGGGTTATTTGCCTTTACATTCTAAACCACAATCACTAGTTCAAAACACCCATACTTGACGCAGGCTTCAAGCCAGAGTCGTAGGGAAATTAAGTTGCGGTCACGACGTTGTGGTCTATAATTGTGAGCTGTAAAAGATTGGATGTATGAGTATATATTTTGTGTGATTTAAGGTTTGTACCTTATATTTAGAACAAATATCTAAAAAATAAGAAAGTATTAAAATTCTTAGTTTATTCCCTTCATAAATACGTGAATGAGTTCCAAACACTTTATTTTTCCGGTTCGTTCAATGAAGGTGGAAGTCTTTTTTTACTAATGCTTTGGTATGTGATATTTCAAGATTGGATAAGCAAAACTCGAAAATATGATTTACGAAATCGTTGCAGGATTGCAACAATGAGCAGAGATCTTAAACAAGTCCTTTCTTGTAGAACTTGAGAACTATTTTCCAGCGTACGATATTCGCACGTTGTTCACAAATGATTTACGAGCGCGTGCCAGGAATCTGTTCACGCAATACCATATGGTTTGATCGAGAGTTCGTGGTAGTTGTCGGCCATATTGCATACATTGTTTCTGAAGTTTATACAACAGTTGCTCACATTGAGTGGTGCACAAGCTTGCCAATCGTGGGAAGTCTGCTTTGATGGGCTGCCCTACTCGCGCCGCTGCTTGTCTGAGCTGTGCGGCGTCCGTGTGCGCAGCGCGGTCTGCGCGTGATGATGGTGGGGTCCCGCCTGCTGGAGCGCGCGGAGCTGCACGCGCTGGAGCAGCAGGTGGAGGTGGCGCGGCAGACGGTGTCGCAGCAGCGCGCGCAGCTCGTGGCGGCCGCGTACGCGCGCATGGAGGCCGGCCTGCGCCTGCTCGGCGCCACGGCCGTCGAGGACCGCCTGCAGGACGGCGTGCAGGAGACGCTCGAGAGCCTGCGCGCCGCCGGCGTCGCGGTGGGT